TGAAAGAATGCACGCTGGAGATTACCAATCTTCTGTTGCCAGTCGTCTGAATATTAGTCTGAGCACGATATCACGGCTTGCAGCTCATTACAACCAAGCAGGTATAACAAATGACCGTCCCCTCGTGAGGCAGACCTCGAGTCACCACTGCAGCCCCAGATCGGTACATCCGGGTACTACAACTGCATGATCGTACTGCCAAGGGTGAGAGCACAGCAGCCAGGGATGCCTGGACTTCGGAGGATATCCAGTCAAACTGTACGAAACAGGTTGAAAGAGATTGGTCGGGGAGCCAAAGAGACCCGACGTCGGGACCCTGCTACGTCGTCACCATCGCGCTCAACGTCTCCGGACAATAAAGTTTATTTTACTGGTAGTAGATGAGAGTTTCTTAAAGATGGACATATTTTTCAACAGCGTTTGAAAGACAAAGTGGACATTGTCGGTTTTCACGTGGAATGCTCAACCATCGGCCTGTCTGGTTAGTTATTCTGAACCTCAAAATTGGGTAATATATGCTTTTGGAAGAAGAAGATATTTTTCTAAGATTGGTTGGGTTTTGAAATATTTGTAATAATCAAGCTTGGAACTTGAATCAACATTAGACTTCCGATTTTGGAAAAACTGGGATCTGTAGGCGTTTTCAACCATTGAGACGAGCCAAGGCGTCGAGCACCCAGACGGATTTAGAAACATGTAGGATAGACCGCAGTTATCAAGGATATGTTTCACAATAGGTAACCATGAGGTTTTACATGTATTGTCACAGATGTGGTTAACACAGTAATATATAATCTGGGATGGCTTCAAATACGTGTTCTCAGAGGCTAATTTATGTCAATGTAATATAAATCGCTTATAGATTTTGATATTCAACGGCTCTCTTCCAAAGTCACTGTAAAGCATACACTTTGGGGTGCTATTTTTCAAACCGGAAGCTAATTTCAGGAATTTATCTAGAGTAAACTCAGTCCTTGCTCTCTTAGGAGATGGGGTGGCCATTGGGACTTTTATTGCAGTAACTGACCATGACTTCTTATTATAATGTAATATACTTGTTGGTCCCTGCCTGGCGCTCGGCATTAATGGGTACAACAAGGACTGGTCAGCTAGTCAGTATAATGTGTCTGAGTGGGGTATTCGTGCTTCACTGCGGCATGGTACCTCAGTGGGCTAGCACAATAAAACCAGCTTCAGTCTGGGCTAGTACAAGCAGCCGCACATACACATACACACGCATACACGTCGTCATATGAGCGAAATATTCTCCAGCGCGAAGTTAAACCCAGTTTCACCTCACCTATAATGTAATATGTCTTAGTTACACTGACTGGCAATACTCTAGACTAACAACTGGTCTGAAATGAACATATTTTACTGAAAAAAGGCTCATAGTGAACAAAAAATATATAATAAAAAGGAGCCCGGAGACTTTCTTCATTTTCCGACTAGCAATAATCATGCTAAACTGAGATAATCTCAATGTCAATGCTAATGTCATTGAATCAGAACAAGCACTTAACATGTAATTTCACCAATCTATGAATTCATTGAACAAGTAATTAGCAAGGAATTAACACTTAATCCTATTATGCCTTGGCAGGCCACCTCTCGCCTAAGCGTGTGTGTTAAATACACACCATGTGTTGGCTGATGCCATCTCTTTTAAAATTACAATGTCGGTTTAGAGAGAGTCAATTTGCACTAAAACATAGTTTGAACAATATTTATTCATTATGAAATGAACGAATTGGTAAACAGGCTATAAGCCTATATAAATACCTCTCCGAATACAATGCGATGGGAAACCTTTTACATACTTTCATCATTACAGACAAGAGAACACACCATTTGAAGAGTAAAAGACTAAATGAAAAAGACACTAGTATAATTAATCAATTAGGTACAAATCGTTTTGTTAAGGTAAAATAGTCAGGTACAGATTTTACAATATTTTCATTGATTTCGTCAGAATATGAGTAACTTCCACATAATACAGATTGAATATTAAAACCATTTATGTAATAGAAACACTTTGATCGAATTGTAGTAAACTTTGGACAGATGAATAGAAAATGAATGGCTTCTTCATAATGATGGCCACAAGAGCAAGTAGACGTATTTTGAAGAAAGCGGTCAAATTTATGTGCATTTATGTCACTACAGCCAAGTCTTAACTTACAATTAATTATTTGGTTAAATCTAGTTCCAATGTTTCTGAAGACATGATGTTCATTGGATGAGACAGTTCGATCAAAGTGTTTCTTGAACATGGCAACGGAATCTATGTTTCTTATATCTTTATCTAACTTGTTCCACTCAACTAAAACATGTTTTGGGACCGGATTTTAGTGTCGGAATTCGGAATAGAAGGATGTTGAATTAGAGGGAGCTTCCTATCTGATACTATACAGGGACAAATTCGCGACCAAATAAAGATGTCTGTTTTCAGGGAATGTCGGATTAGAAGGATGTTGGTTTAGAGGGAGTTCACTGTATATATTTGATATGAAATACCGACATAGGTATTTCATATGACACAGGTACGGATGTAGAATTTTGGAGAAGAGGAGTGCACATAAATCATGAAGTCCAAAGGTGGGGATGCTTCTAGGGGGAAATTTGTTTCGGGGAGATCCCCCTCTGGATCCGCCGTTGTGACAAACAAATGCTAAACGTGTGGGTTCACTCCCAGCTGTTCATGTTCATGGTGGGTGATGATGGGTGGGGTGCGAGGGTATATCTCGAGCCATTTCTACAATAATCTGATTACTGTAAAGTTACATTATGATCCTTATCAGTATGTTTTAACGTACGAATAATCCAAGCCCCGACATACGCCACCCCCATACTACCATAATCATTTCCAACAAAGAAAATAAACATACCATTGAAGGGTGAGGTGAAATTGGGTTTAACGTCGCGCTGGAGAATATTTCGCTCACATGACGACGTGCATGCGTGTGGATGTGTATGTGGGGTTGCTTGTACTAGCCCAGATTTAAGCTGGTTTTATAGTGCTAGCTCACTGAGGTACCATGCCTGAACTGAACTGAACTGAACATTATTTCTCTCAAGGCTACATACATAGCATAATGTGGGTTTACAGAGGTCATGCAAAGTAAGTAATGGCGACATAAAGTCTATTTAAAATTGCATAATATAGAGCGACAAAAAGTTGAGAGTTTGATCAAGTCCGAGACATTTTTACTTTGCAATAAACCTATCATTTTAAATACAGATGGTCTCTTGGTGCTCAGAGTTGGAAGTAGTTCATATTCACCGAATACACTCTTAGCACATGAGCAGAACATGTCATTAATATTCTGAACAATATCGTCAATTTTTGTTCCAACATCAGGGTCACAGGACATGCTGTCTAATTCTTCATGTATATTATATGAAGCTTAGAGCCATAGGGATGCTCCAGGCCGGAAGAACACAAGCCCACACAGCAGCACAACTGGGTGCCTCGTCGGATGTGGGCACGTTACACTGCCACTGGAAGAGTTCAGGATAGGTCTCGAGGTGATCGCCCCAGATGTACCACCAGTTATGATGACCGGCGGATCATCACTGGAGCCCTCCGTGATCGTCGACATAATTCGACACATCTGCAGCAAGTACACAGACAGACCACTGGGAAAGGCATCTCCACACAGACTATACGGAACCGTCTCCATGCTGCACACCTTCGAGCAAGGCGATCTTACATCCTGTGGTCCCTACCAAACCGTCACAGGCAGGCCCGGAGAGACTTGTCATCGTCACCCGCTGTGGAACAATGCCCGGTGGTCCCATGCGATGTCCAGCGATGAATCAAGGTTGACCAGGTGAACGCCACCAGCCATGATTCCACATGATCATATGGAAGGGGTTCTGTTTTGGTGTGGGGTGGGATCACAATGACGGGCAGGACCGATCTCCACATCTGCCAAGGGAGAGTCACTGGTGTCTACTACCGTGACAACAACTGTATGTTTAATTTGCTCAAATCCCTTGTCAGAAAGTGCCCACAGTGCGGAGACTTTCTGGACTTTAGTGAGTCCAGAATTAACTTGTGACGTGTTAGATTTATTTGTGTGAAACACGCAGGTTTTTTGCGTTAACACGAACACTGTACCAGTGGCACGTTTGGCCTAACGTAGGGCGTGTTGTCTGTATATTTCCACAACATGTAAGTGATAAACAAAGTATAATTGTCTTCTACAAGAATACGTCTGACAGCTTTACTACTTTACTAAGTTATGCATAGACCAACATCTCCCTCATCAAATCCTCTCCTTTATAGTGTCCAAAATTATCAATAAAGACAGTAAATCCGAGGACAATATTTTAAGACCTGACAAATACATATATACCATTACTTTCTGTTTTCTAACTTTCATTTTTACATCATCTACCCAAGGTCTGCAGGAACATGGCATTCTTCATTCCGTTCCTCTATACCTTCCGATGTGCTCCACCGTGTTCCCGGGTTATTAAGTCGATAACAAAGTTCACACAACGCCATGACTTTTCCTGGACGTGAGCTGAGGGCCCGGTACTGTTCCTTGTGCATGAGGATGTCCATGTAAGCTGACGTGCTGGATATGAGCCCCTTTAGATGCCATCCAAGCGCCTCCGGGCTGGCAAAATCAGCTGTGTCGATATACGTCCCATTCGGTACAAGGTGTTTGTAGTCAGCACCTCCTCGGACTACAGGGACACAGGGTACGTTGAAAATCTTGTACAGCTTTTCCGTAATGTAGTCTTTACACAAGGAGTTCTCAAATAACAAATAAAACATGTATGTATGGTTTAGCATGTTTCGGCATTCTGGATTTGATTTTGGGCATGTAAATGATCCACAATTTCCAAAAATATCAACGTCAATTACTTTCTGAAGCCTTTTGACATATGCCATTCGTCTAGAAGCTGTTTGACAATTGTTCACAAACCATGCAACCGTCTTCGTCTTGTGCTGCACGATATTTAGAAGATGATGATAGGAAAGCGGTTTCAGAAGTGGTACAAACATCCCCACGGGAGCGAAGAGGTCGGAGTTCGTTCTGTATGTCATTGTCCCAATTTAATTCTCTTCTCCATTCTGGTGTGTACATTGCTTGTCTACGGTGAGTCGGACTTTCCCAGGCAAAAAGCACCCACACTTGCCCTGGTGTTCGGGGTGGAGGTATGGGGGGACATTAATCGTTCATTAAAGAGCACAGCGTCTGCATATGTCCTCAATGAGCAATTCGGCGACAACAAACAGTTGCTGTATCTACACAGTTCCATATAACCTATTAGTGTCCATTCCATAAATTTTGGACAATGCTCAAATACAATAAGCTTTGTTCCATTTCCAGTGTAATGTGTCAAGGACTTGTTTGTGAAAGGGAGATCCATATTGACCGCACCAGTTGGAGTCCAGTACTCTGTGATGGCTTCTTTAAAGACAAGCCGAGATGAAGTGTGCTGTGAGAGTGGATGGGATTTGGCGTCGGGCGATAGGTGTGTCTGATCACTTTTAGGATTCAGATGTATATTGGGCATGTTGTTACTCTTTCCCTTGTCTAATCCTGAGTGTTTTACCCATTCAGGAGATCTGGGATTCACCGTCGTATGTTCCTTTACAGCTGACAATTGACGCACTTCTGTATCATCGAAAAGAGGAAACCTGTACCTCCCGGTATGTGATGTAAATGCACAAAGGTAGAAGATGCAAATGATCACGGATATCCAACACAGTATTAGGAAAAGACGAATCGGATGATATGGACGATTCATCAGAAATTATACGTAAATCTTATCTTTAAAGTGAATGTGGTAATGATCCATCAAGTAAGAACAAGCGTTTATTATCACATATTCATTTACCACTATGGCATGTGGATGTTGTTTTAGAGTGAGTGAGTGAGTTTAGTTTTACGCCGCATTTAGCAATATTCCAGCTATATGGTGGCGGTCTGTAAATAATCGAGTTTGGACCAGACAATCCAGTAATCAACTGCATGAGCATCGATCTCCGCAATTGGGATATGGTGACGTGTCAACCAAGTCAGCGAGCCTGACTATCCAATCCCGTCAGTCGCCTCTTACGACAAGCATGAGTTACTGAAGATCAATTCTAACCCGGATCTTCACGGGTGCGACTGAGTAGTATTATTGACCTTCCATGTAAATGTTTCTTAATGAGATTTTGTCTTCTCTAACCCAGATCTTCACGGATCCGATGTTGTTTAGAACAAGAAGGTAATTACACCACAGGCAAATTGTAGCGCAAATAGGGTTGCGCAACAAAGAGATAATGACCAGTCTGAACCTGATGCTGGCAGGGGTAATGGAGGCGAAGAACGATTTGACATGCCACGAGTGGCGCTTAAAATGTTGAATTAAATATATTGTACGTGAGTAATGATTAAATATGAGGTTGGAAATCTGAGAGCACAACTCTGTGAGGAAATGGGTATCTACCTTTGATGATGGCGATAGTTTATTTTGATATTAAAAATATTTTTCGAACCGAAGCGAGGGAAGCACGTTGCCAACCTTTCCTCGCTTCACTCGCATATGGAAAGACTGGTCATTTTCTCTTTGTTGCGTAACCCAAATCACTACGCCACGTCTTGACTCTGCGACACAGAACATCGCCATTGAAAGAATGCACGCTGGAGATTACCAATCTTCTGTTGCCAGTCGTCTGAATATTAGTCTGAGCACGATATCACGGCTTGCAGCTCGTTACAACCAAGCAGGTATAACAAATGACCATCCCCGTAGAGGCAGACCTCGAGTCACCACGGCAGCCCCAGATCGGTACATCCGGGTACTACAATTGCATGATCGTACTGCCAAGAGTGAGAGCACAGCAGCCAGGGTGCCTGGACTTCGGAGGATATCCAGCCAAACTGTACGAAACAGGTTGAAAGAGATTGGTCGGGGAGCCAAGAGACCCGACGTCGGGACCCTGCTACGTCGTCAACATCGCGCTCAATGTCTCCGGGACAATAAAGTTTATTATACTGGTAGTAGATGAGAGTTTCTTAAAGATGGACATATTTTTTCAACAGCGTTTGAAAGACAAAGTGGACATTGTCGGTTTTCACGTGGAATGCTCAACCATCGGCCGGTCTGGTTAGTTATTCTGAACCTCAAAATTGGGTAATATATGCTTTTTGGAAGAAGAAGATATTTTTCTAAGATTGGTTGGGTTTTGAAATATTTGTAATAATCAAGCTTGGAACTTGAATCAACATTAGACTTCCGATTTTGGAAAAACTGGGATCTGTAGGCGTTTTCAACCATTGAGACAAGCCAAGGCGTCGAGCATACAGACGGATTTAGAAACATGTAGGATAGACCGCAGTTATCAAGGATATGTTTCACAATAGGTAACCATGAGGTTTTACATGTATTGTCACAGATGTGGTTAACACAGTAATATATAATCTGGGATGGCTTCAAATACGTGTTCTCAGAGGCTAATTTATGTCAATGTAATATAAATCGCTTATAGATTTTGATATTCAACGGCTCTCTTCCAAAGTCACTGTAAAGCATACACTTTGGGGTGCTATTTTTCAAACCGGAAGCTAATTTCAGGAATTTATCTAGAGTAAACTCAGTCCTTGCTCTCTTAGGAGACGGGGTGGCCATTGGGACTTTTATTGCAGTAACTGACCATGACTTCTTATTATAATGTAATATACTTGTTGGTCCCTGCCTGGCGCTCGGCATTAATGGGTACAACAAGGAGTCAGTATAATGTGTCTGAGTGGGGTATTCGTGCTTCACTGCGGCATGGTATCTCAGTGGGCTAGCACTATAAAACCAGCTTAAGTCTGGGCTAGTACAAGCAGCCGCACATACACATACACACGCATGCACGTCGTCATATAAGCGAAATATTCTCCAGCGCGAAGTTAAACCCAATTTCACCTCACCTATAATGTAATATGTCTTAGTTACACTGACTGGCAATACTCTAGACTAACAACTGGTCTGAAATGAACATATTTTACTGAAAAAAAGGTTCATAGTGAACAAAAAATCTATAATAAAAAGGAGCCCGGAGACTTTCTTCATTTTCCGACTAGCAATAATCATGCTAAACTGAGATAATCTCAATGTCAATGCTAATGTCATTGAATCAGAACAAGCACTTAACATGTAATTTTACCAATCAATGAATCCATTGAACAAGTAATTAGCAAGGAATTAACACTTAATCCTATTATGCCTTGGCAGGCCACCTCTCGCCTAAGCGTGTGTGTTAAATACACACCATGTGTTGGCTGATGCCATCTCTTTTAAAATTACAATGTCGGTTTAGAGAGAATCAATTTGCACTAAAACATAGTTTGAACAATATTTATTCATTATGAAATGAACGAATTGGTAAACAGGCTATAAGCCTATATAAATACCTCTCCGAATACAATGCGATGGGAAACCTTTTACATACTTTCATCATTACAGACAAGAGAACACACCATTTGAAGAGTAAAAGACTAAATGAAAAAGACAATAGTATAATTAATCAATTAGGTACAAATCGTTTTGTTAAGGTAAAATAGTCATGTACAGATTTTACAATATTTTCATTGATTTCGTCAGAATATGAGTAACTTCCACATAATACAGATTGAATATTAAAACCATTTATGTAATAGAAACACTTTGATCGAATTGTAGTAAACTTTGGACTGATGAATAGAAAATGAATGGCATCTTCATAATGATGGCCACAAGAGCAAGTAGACGTATTTTGAAGAAAGCGGTCAAATTTATGTGCATTTAAGTCACTACAGCCAAGTCTTAACTTACAATGAATTATTTGGTTAAATCTAGTTCCAATGTTTCTGAAGACATGATGTTCATTGGATGAGACAGTTCGATCAAAGTGTTTCTTGAACATGGCAACGGAATCTATGTTTCTTATATCTTTATCTAACTTGTTCCACTCAACTAAAACATGTTTTGGGACCGGATTTTAGTGTCGGAATAGAAGGATGTTGATTTAGAGGGAGCTTCCTATCTCATACTATACAGGGACAAATTCGCGACCAAATAAAGATGTCGGTTTTCAGGGAATGTCGGATTAGAAGGATGTCGGTTTAGAGGGAGTTCACTGTATATATTTGATATGAAATACCGACATAGGTATTTCATATGACACAGGTACGGATGTAGAATTTTGGAGAAGAGGAGTGCACATAAATCATGAAGTCCAAAGGTGGGGATGCTTCTCGGGGAAATTTGTTTCAGGGAGATCCCCTCTGGATCCGCCCCTGTGACAAACAAATGCTAAACGTGTGGGTTCACTCCCAGCTGTTCATGTTCATGGTGGGTGATGATGGGTGGGGTGCGAGGGTATATCTCGAGCCATTTCTACAATAATCTGATTACTGTAAAGTTACATTATGATCCTTATCAGTATGTTTTAACGTACGAATAATCCAAGCCCCGACATACGCCACCCCCATACTACCATAATCATTTCCAACAAAGAAAATAAACATACCATTGAAGGGTGAGGTGAAATTGGGTTTAACGTCGCGCTGGAGAATATTTTGCTGACATGACGAAAATTGCATAATATAGAGCGACAAAAAGTTGAGAGTTTGATCAAGTCCGAGACATTTTTACTTTGCAATAAACCTATCATTTTAAATACAGATGGTCTCTTGTTGCTCAGAGTTGGAAGTAGTTTCTTTCTCAGATCGGTGAAATAATTACAATTAATCAAGTAGTGGTATTCATCTCCAATATCATTTGAGGCACAGAGGGTACTTTCATCAGAAATATCAGTTTTGTACCATCTACCAGTCTCAATCGGTAATCGATGACATGATAATCTAAACACTGTTAAAGCAATTTTATGTTTATCAGGTAAATGTTGTAGATAGAATTCAATATCAGTGTTAAGTTTAATAAATTTATAGAATCTACCCTTTGTGATACTTCTAGATCAGAGTGCCACTTCTGTATAAACAAATCAATGAGACTCTTCTTTACCTTATGCTTTATCCATTCTACATTATCACAAAACTCTTGAATCCACATGCCATTATTTCCAGTTTGAACTAGTATATCGTGTATACATGAGATCAAATAACTTCAGTTGGCAGGCGATAAATAATTAAAACGTCTAGCTTTTGATAGAATATAGTTTATAGCTTTAAGAGCCTTCTCACATAACGATCTTCTTGCTGATGTGAAGGGTACATTTCTTACTAAATATAATACCCAGATATTTATATTCATCAACATTCTCTAGGTAAGTATCAGATATTGCAAATTTATGATTGTAGTCCTTTCTATTGCCATTAAATATAGATATATTACATTTTTCAACATTGATTTTAAGTTTCCATGAT